TAGTCCAATAAATATACAGCCAAGGTATGAAAAAAGTCATGAAAATTTTAAGTCATGAAATTTCTTTCTTCTAAATATCTCCTGATACTGTTCACTTTTCTTGATGATTCTACCATGGTACTTGGCATGATGAGTTCTTATCTGGATTGCTGTAACAGCTTCCTACGTGTTCTTCCTTTATCAACTCTTCCCACCCCCTTTCCTAATCCATTCTCTCTATATCATAGGCCGACTGAACATCTTCAAGTGCAAATGTGACTATAGTACTTCCCTAGGTAAATACTTCATTGGCTTCTCATTAAAGGGGCTGTTTCTATTCTTTGGTTTGGTCTATATACACAGTTAGCTTTATGCATACCTCACAGTTAAGTCTCCTGTCAACTTTTTTATTCTTTGCACTACTGCTTTCTGAGACATATCTTAATCTATAAATTTGCTATACTCTTCATCTATTCATCCATTCAGTGGAGTAGAGAGGGAGGAAATTGATAACATTAAATTCTTATTAATTTATTAAAATGACTATAATAAGCTCATTATGTATTAAATAAATGACCTATTTTTGAAAAATAGCAGAATGAAACACAACTAAAATAATTTAGTGAGAAGAGTAGCATTAGAATTTCAGGACTTAATCATCCAACATAACTGAAACTTTGTACTCTTCAGAGATCTAATATACAGTATGGTGTCTAAAGTGAATCATAACTGAATTGTGTACTGAAAATTTGCTCAGAGAGTTGATTTTAAGTATTCTCATCACAAAAAAGTAAGTATGTAAAGTGATGTGTTAGTTAGCTTGATTGTATAATCATTTCACCTTTTTCTGTTTGTTTTTGGAGGGGAGGTAATTAGGTTTACTTATTTATTTATTTCTGGAGGAGGTACTGAACCCAGGATTGAACCCAGGACCCTATGTATGCTAAGCATGCACTCTACCACTTGAGCTATATCCTCCCCCCTCTCACAATTCATACATATATCAAAACATTACATTGTACACCTTAAATATACACAAATTTTATTTGTCAAGTATACCTCCATAAAGCTGGAAAAAAAGGGTACCATGTTATATTCCTGCTCACTCTTCTCCAATGACTTCCCATTACATTCTGAATTGAAATTCCAAATCTCTATTAGTGGCTTAAGTAACATCATCACCACCATATCCCTTTCTCTTTTTCTTGCTGTGTTCTCTTTTTCACTGTGCCAGACTGTGAGTCTTAACCTACCTTAAACATACAAGACACGTTCCTGTTTTGAAGTTTTGCACATGCTCTTCTCTTCATATGGAATCCTTTCCCCAAGATATCCTTGTGTCGCTTCTTCATTTCCTTGAAATAACACCTCAAAGAAGATTTTCTTGACCATCTAAAAATTAGCACATGGAACTATATTTAATATCTTGTAATAATCTATAATGAAAAAGAATATGAAAAATAATATATATGTATGCCTGAATCACTATGCTGCACACCAGAAACTAAAACAAGATTGTATATCAACTATACTTCAATTAAAAAATTTTTTAAATAAAATATTATTCAATGAAAAAAAATACAGGTTTGCTGAATACAGCTAATACCCCTTTCCTACATTAACTTTTCTTCACTGCACTTTTCATCATCCAACATTCTGTCTTCTTTATTTATTACTCAGGTCTATAACTTGCCTATATCTGAGCTTATCAACAGAATCTGAGGCTCCTGAGGACAGTGTTTTTTTTTTCCTGAAACCAAGAACATTGACTGGTAATAAGCAGATATGCAATAGTAATTGGTGGAAAGAATTACTCAGTCTACAGTCACTGCGAGTTTGATCCCTGTGTGTGCCTAGCTGCATCTCAGGATACCCTTCTCTCAATCTACCACTTGGGTGGTTCTCACCAAGAATTATTTATAGTTTCTAAATAAGTAGTGCTCTTTGGCATCTCTTGATTCTTTCCCAAAATACTTGCTTTATGTAGAGAACTATATTTTTTCTCATTTTCACGTAGATAACTCTAACCTGACCTTTAGGACTCAATGTGTAGAGCATTCTAAACACTAAACTACTCTAGATACCCCTACTAGACTATAAATTCTTTGAGGGTAACAAATGTGTCTTGTTTACCAATTTATCACAAGTCACCTTTACGAAAGTCAATCATTCAGTGTTGAATGAATAAATGAATGAACGAGGTTGGTTCCACATTCCATGCATAAAGGCTGTTATGATCTTAGATATGAGCGCTTGATCCTGGGTCCCTCAGACCATGTTAAACTGCCTCTCATGGTCACGTTTTTAACTTCCTACATGAAGCATCTTTTCTGACAGTGACCTTGAAATATCATCTTTGCCTAGCACGCTTCTCTCCTGTCTTTAATATCAAATAATTACTTGATAATTTTCCACCAGTTAATGTAGCTTCTTGCTAACTTAGCTCTAGCCACACTGGTCCTTGTGCTTTTCCTACAACATTCCGCTTTTTTTCCATTTCAGGCCCTCGACACTTGTTCTGCCTGTTTGGAATGCTCTTCCTTTAAATCTTTTCATGTCTCACTCCGTTGCATAATTTAGAATTTTGCTTGAAAATCCCCTCTTTATGGAGACCTCCCCAGCTCACAGATTTCTCCATCACTTTCCACCTGTTACCCTACTTTACTTCCTTCAAAGCACTTAGCACTGACTAAAATGGTTAGCCATTCACTTTGCTATTATCTGTCTCTCTTACCAAAATGTAAGCCAAAAACACAATCCATCATTCTTTTGCCCTCTGTATTCCTAGAATGCAGACCTTGCCTAGAAAAGAGCTCACTCAACAGCCCTTTGTGGAACAAAGGAATGTTCTTCCAGCCACACAGTTTTGTTGATCTAACTACCGCTTATTCTTAAAGACTCAGCTAAGGCAGCCCCTCTGGAAAATAACCCATGATTCTCCTCCCCCTCAGGCTGTTGGAGGGCTCTCTCTTTGACTTATTATACATTCTTCATGACTGATGGATTTTACTCTGTGTTATTGGTTTTATTTTAGGCATGAAAGTAACTACAATTTATTTAGAGCTGAAAAACAGGCTAAGATTTTTTTTTGAAACTTTCATCTATATCATATATTTAAAATGTGTAGAGAGTCTTGTGGGAATGACATTGATAGAGAAAACTGAGCTTATAACATTAAAAGAATTTTGCTAAGTCACATAGAAAGTAGAACCTTCCAAACCTGACTCCAAGTATTGTATACTGACCAGTGTATCATGATAACTCTTTAATTCATTGTAAGATATAAGAGAACATGACTCCCATAGGAGGACTAAAATGTCAGGTACATAGATAGCGTGGATATAGATCCAGCTGGGAGCTGTATGCATGCTTCAGAATTTGCCTGGGCTTTATGATTTTTCTGAGGTTTTATGTGTACAAAGACACACGATTACATCTCATGATGTAAACCACCCATGACACTCAAACACATATTCTCTTTTATTCTATTTGCTGTGTAATTGATCTTGGATCCTCCACAGGGTGACAGCCAAGGTCCCCATAAACCACCATTTCAGAATCACTCTCTTGCTCATGCCTGACAGGATGAGGCACTGGTGGGGAGGTTGGCACACGACCCATCAAGAGTTCAACGTCAAGCGTGCTAGATAGCCTTAAATGAGACTAACCTCAAGTGAGAACTGGCTCCACATAAAGGTCATAATGGAGAATTTTGTCTTCTTCCCTCTGCTACTCCCTTTCTTGACCCTGCAGTAACTCAGGCAGGAACGTGCTTCCCTCTAGATGTTCAAAGTTCTCCTTGGCAGCATCTTATCTAGACCTGCTTTCCTCACAGATACCTCCAAGCCAAAGTTACAGATTCTATACTGACAAATATTACTCAAAAGATAATTTTTCATCTGGAGCAATGTGGAGGTACAATTGTAAAGCACAGATAGTCAGTTATAAGGGTTTCTCTCTCTTCAGTCCATTGGCTCATGACTGTTTGATGTGGTTAGTGCCTCAACCTCTTACCACTCACTGCCATCCACCCCCATAATTCTCTACCCTTCCTTGACTTGCAGGGAACAACTGTGACAGCAAAGACAATTTCAGATATTTCCCTGATTACAGTGTCCTCTCTCTCACACCTCTTTCTCAGTTTTGCACACACTGTTCTTACAGATTGTAATTTTCCAATTTGGCTGCCTAACTGCTAGGTGTCCCTTACAGTTGGCTGCTAGGCCAAGTCGTGGAACCCTTTCATGCCACTCTCTTTCCCCAGCTCAAGGAAGATATATTTCTTTTAGCTCCTATATCAATTTCTTTTTAATTAATCAATTTATTTCTTTGATTAACATAAGTAACATATAGTTGTCTAGCAAACCACCCCAAAATGCAGTGTCTCTGAAAAACAAACATTTATTTAGCTTAGAAATCTGTGATCTGGACTGGGTTCAGAGTAGGATTAATTGTCTGTTTCATTGGGTGGCAGCTGGAGAGGCAGGAAGGTTGGGAGTTGGAACAGTTCAAAGATTTATTGACTCACTAGTAGTTGATAATGACTCAGCTAAGGCTGAGACCTCAGCTGGGTCTATTGGTTAAAACCCCTATATGTGGGCTCTCCATGTGGTCTGGGCTTCTGCTCAGCCTGGTGATTGGCTTTGAAAAGCAAGCAAGCATTGTGTGAGATAGATAGAGGAACAGATGCCTATAGACCTATAGATGTAGAGATAGAAAGGGGATAGAGAAAGAAAGAGAGAACGGGTACCATATTGCCTTTTATGACCTAGCCTTGAAGTCTTACGGGGTCACCACCACAACATTCAATTGTTACAAAGTCAGAACCAGTTACAAAGGGAGAAGTGATGGAAGAATGACAAGTTTCTAGAACAGAATGTGGGATTGGAAACATTTCTGGCCATTTTGGGAAAACAGAATCTACCACACCATACTGCAGTGAATTTCCTACCCCCCAACCCTGTCCCAGAGGGAGAGTTGTGTAACAGTTGTGATTTCTTGTTTGTTGAGTAAGTAAATAAGGGCATATTTACGGAAATAGTGCCTCCAATACTAGACCCAGCTAGTAACAAAAGGCTTGGGTCACACGATCTCGGATCTGTTTGGTCTTCACACTGTAGACGATGGGGTTCATCAGTGGAGGGAAGAGAAGGTACACAAAGCCCATGATCACCTGGACCAGATGAGGCGCCTGCTTCCCAAAGCGGTGGATGACAGACAGGCCAATCATGGGAGTGTAGAAGAGGAGCACAGCGCAGATGTGGGAAACACAGGTGTTAAGAGCCTTGAGTCTTTCGGCCCTGGATGCGATGGACAGCACGGTGTGCAGGATCAGGGCATAGGAGAGGAGAATGAGGAGTGAATCTACACCCACTGTGGAAACAATGACAAACAAGCCATAGACGCTGTTGGCTCTGATGTCTGCACAGGCCAACTTCATCACTTCCTGGTGGAGACAATAAGGATGTGAGAGGACTGGGGAGCCACAATACGGGAACCTTTTGAGCATAAAAGGTAATGGGAAAATGAGCACTACACTGCGGCCCAGGGAGGCTAGGCCCATCCTGCCAATGACGGTGTTGGTGAGAATGGACGCATAGTGCAAGGGGCGACAAATGGCCACAAAGCGGTCGAAGGCCATTGACAGTAGCACGGAGGACTCCAGGAAGGACAAGCAATGAATGAAAAAGAGCTGGGCAAAACAGGCATCATGACCAATATCGCGCGCCCCAATCCAAAAGATGCCTAGCACTGTAGGGAGGGTGCAAAGGGACAGACCCAGGTCGGTCAGAGCCAGCATGGACAGGAAGAGGTACATAGGCTCATGGAGCGAGGGCTCTGTTTTAATGATACACAGAATGGTGCAGTTGCCCAGGATGGAAACGAGGTATATGAAGCACAGCGGGATGGAGACCCAGAGGTGCACATGCTCCAGCCCAGGCACGCCGCTCAGCAGGAAGGTGGAGGACGTGCTGCTGCTGTTCTCCAGGGACCTCAGCATCATTGTGTGTGTGGGGAAGGGGGAAGGTGGCATCCCTCCAGATCCCTGAAATGACTTGAGAAAAAGCTAGTGATTGTACCTGGGAAGAAATTATTAAAAAAAAGAGAGAGAGAGAGAGATCAGGATCAAGCAGACCTATAGCTGTGTGTCTCCTCCAGAGGTCATTTCCATCTGGTCCTTGATTCCCTCTCAATACTTTTTTTAGAGAAATTTTTTGTTTTTGAAATTTTTTCTCCTTGCTTCTTCAGGCTAAGAGGTGCAGAGCATCCTCACTATAGTGCTTATACTTCACTATAGCAGATATGTAAGTTGGCTGTATTTAAATTTGCCTACCTCTTATGAGGTTTCAAACTTTCACTGATGTTTCTTTTCAACCTTTCTCTCAGCTTCTTTTCCTTTGTCTTATTTTAGGTCCTTTGCTCTTTCTTTACCTTTTTTCTTTCTTTCATCTTCCCTTCCTCTGCTCCCTCCTTCCTTCTTTTTTCCTCCTATTGTGCTGCACGCTGCAGGCCTGAGAGCCCTGTGCTTGCCCAGCCTCAAGACCAAAGAAAGAGCCTGGAGTCAGCAACAGAGTCATCAATAGTTTACCACCGTGGACAGCAGAAGCAGCAGCAGTCTCCACTCCAGGGAAATAAGAGACTATCCATTATGGGGGGAATTGAGTTCAGATTGGCACATCAGATTGTTGGATTCTCGAGGAAACCAGCAGACTGGCAGGGCCCTTGTAGCCCCTAGGGCTAAGTGACTTCAATGGGCAGAGGTCAGAGGTCTTCCCTTTGTTAAACTATCAAAGGGGAGCCATTCTGATCTAAAGATTAGAACAATCACTAACTGGGGCCAGGGACAAATATGTAGGTATTTACTGATGAGGCTCTAAGATTAAGGCGAGAGGTCAGTCTTGTGAGTGCGAAGTAGGTGAAGCAGGGACTGGTGGGGCAGGGGATGTAGAGAGAAAGCAAATAACCATTTTGGGTGGCCTGACCATACACTTCTCCTCCTTCCTTTCTCCCCTCCTACCTTCCTTCCTTCCTACCTTCTGTCTATTTTTGTTTAACTTCATCGGCCACATGTCATTGCCAATGTAAGATACAGACAAATCCTTCACTTACCTTCTCTCTGATCTTCCTGCTGTACAAGCCTAGCTTGATGCAGATAGCTCATAAATGCTACTCAGCTCACAGAATTCCAGAGAGAACTGCAGAGTGCATGAACAGCTGCCTGTAAAGTTATTCTTGACTGTTGGAGTAAGAGATCAAAGCTCTGATCCTCATACCAGTCAGTAACAGCCATTCCCTAAAGCAGCAGGCTCCCTGCTGTGAACCTCCATGAGAGGAGATACTGAAGCAATCTGACCACACCCCTGGTCACAGGGCAGAGCCGGAGAGAGTCCACAGAACAAAAGACATGGATGCTGGTGGGGCTCATTCTTCTGTAAATGAGACAGAAAGGCTCAGAAGAGGACAGTCACTAGGCAGAAGTCATTTGCCAATTTAAGCCTCTTGACTTCCAGAGCAGTGATCGGTCCACTTCCATTCATAATCCCACTGCAATGTGAGCTCAAAGTGGGTGGGGGCTTTGCTTTGTTTAATTCTGAAAAGATAGTGTTTAGAATGTGTCCTATACCTGGCAAGTGCCCAGCAAATCTTTTTTTAATGAATGACTAAGAGTTAAATTTTACTTACTTAGCTGCGACTAACTTTGTGCATACTTTTATCTCTTTTAAAAAAATCCTATGAATAAAGTTCTATTAATAGTATCATGTTATAGATGAAGAAACAGAGACTTAGAAGAAACAGACATTTCTAAGATCAAAGACATAGTAAAATGGCCACAATGGGGTTTGAATCAAGATCTGACATTCTTCTAGATTCCAGGCTCTACCCACATACATGAAAAGTTTCTGTCAACTATCAGTGACTAGCATACAATGAAGGGCTTGATAGGTCTTCAAAAAAAGTGCCGGCTCTTTAGCTGAGTGAATAAATAAAGTTCCTGGGGAAATACACACAAATACATACTCAGACATTTTCTTCCCCACTCCAATGAAATTAATAGCCAGTGTTATTAACTTACTGTTCACTTGAAGGTCAGATTGACTGTCATGCGGTGTTCCCCAGTTTCTGCTTTGGCTGTGATCAGTGGTCAGCACATTATTCATCAGAGTGAATTCAGAAGTGATAAACTTATGTGTAAGTGACAGACAAGCTACGTGGTAGTTAACAATATAACTCATAAAATCTAAGGCAGAAAGTATTTTTGACATGAAAATGAGGTAGGGTGGTAAAGAAGAAAGAACTATAATACTTGGTGAACATCTACAATTTGCCAGACACTGGACTGAAAATGTTACAAAAGAAATAGCATTTAGACCTTAGAAAAGCCTTGCAAGTTAACATCATTACCTCAATTTGCAAATAAGGTGAGAAAAACTTAGAGGATTTGATAACGTGCCTAAAATTGTATAGCCAGTCAGTGGCAGAGCTGGAATCCAAACTTAAATCTCTGGAGCTCCAAAGCACAGTCTGAGAATTTGTAAACATTAAGGTTAACAAATCCAGGCAGTTTTTAAAGTCAAGACAGTCTGAAATGGGTGGAGATTAAATGACAAATGATGAAGAGAATTATCAAAAGTGTCAGTCCCTACCTTCTTTTAGCTATTAGCTCAAGGGAGCCTCTCTGGAATGAGAGCTTATGCGTCACGTTTTAAGAGAGTAGAGCAGAACAGGAATCAGAAAGAGAGAACTTAGAGGATGAGTTGAAGGAGGGAACTTGGATATAAGCAAAAATCCAGAAGAGTGAAGCCAGGAGATATCTGCTTGGTTTCACCTTTAGTGTGTTGGCCAAAGAGATCTTAGTAAGATAATTATTCTAAGGGCTTCTTATTTAAAGGTCTTTAGAGTATTCCTCCTCAGTTCTGGTGAGAATCTCACTGTTCCTGACCAGCACCAAAAGTAGCTGTCCAGGATAGAGAAGGGTGGGAAATTTAACAAATGCCTTTCTGTCCCTAGTTGCTCTTCTTGGAGACCACTTCCTAGAGTGACTTGTACAAGTGCAATGCTTGCTTCTAATTCCATCAGTCATATGCTGTGGTCCTTCAGGGAAATGTCCTTTGATATCACAGTCGAGCTTTTCTCCAGAGGATCACATTTCTTCCTGCCCCTCTATCTCTCTGCTTCTTGGAAATAACTCCCGATTCTATAACCTTGTGTTTGATGCTAAAGGGCAGATACTGAACCTAGAGTAACTGAGCTCATCTCCTTCCTGCACCTCAGGTTCACTTGCCAAATTGGCCTGTCTCCCTGGGTCTCAGCAATATTCCCACTGTCACCATGCATGGGGCAAAACTAAAGCAGTGAGCAGATGTGAGGGAGCTATTCTTTCCTCTCTGGGCTAGTGCTAAAACCAGGCCTTGAAATCCCACGAAGTAAGCAAGATCTGACTCCAGCAGTCCCACCTTGAGCAGGGAACCCTCTACAGCCTTTCCTGTGCCTCAAAAT